ACTTTGACCGTCCAGCCACTCCAGCAGCCATTTCTCAGTATCCACCTGCATGAGGTCGAAAGAGGAATTGTTGCCAGGAGTCATTACATCCACTACATCCAGCAATCTCTCAGGATTCACCTGTATGGTGTCGAAAGATTCATTTTGTTCAGGACTCACTGCAGCACTTTGCATTTCACCTTTTGATTTCACTTCACTCTCATTGCGGATCTTCGCATGCTTGTTTCGGGGTGATGATCGTGTCCTCTCCAACGGAGAACAATTGAATGGCTTCTCACCCGTGTGTGTTTTATGGTGTCTGTTAAGGTTTGATTTCTGTGCAAATGCCTTCCCACACACAGAGCACTTGAATGGCTTCTCGCCCGTGTGTATTTTCTTGTGAGTGTTAAGATTTGATTTCTGTGCAAATGCCTTCCCACACACAGAGTACTTGAATGGCTTCTCGCCCGTGTATGCGTGGCACGGTTTAGAGTTAATCTGCTCCATGTGACAGATTCTACAGAGCAGAGTAACAGTCGCGGGTGTTGTTGAGAGTTAACGGCGCCCTCTAAGCTGCGTGGCTCAAATCGCCAAAAAGCAAACTCTCACGAACGTCCAACCGAGACAAAGTAACGTCTCGTAAGTCGGACTACACACGCGATTACCTGGCTATCCACTAACAAAGACACTTACTTGTTGATGCACGGCGTATCGATGACCCTGTAACCCGTCTGAAGAGATCGCCACGAACTCTCCCGAAGCAAAGTCGCCAACCAGTCGCCAAGCAATCGTGCTCACCAGGCTGTGTCTCGCAGGAGAAGTGAAATCTGCAGAGCAATGAGTCGAGCGTTTATCCTCAGGAAAATTCCTCTCCAAATGGTCTTGAGGTCTGATTATAAGCCCCTTATAACTCCCCTCTAGCATCCAAATCCTTTGTTCTCGATTTGGCCTATCACGGACTTACAAATCTACAATTGCATTCAATTGTAGATTTGTAACTTTTACAATCCGCATATAAATCAACAAAGCTTAGCTAATCTGGCCTTTTAAATTAAACCTTAATATGTTTGTACATCCCACTGCATAATTGTACGCTTCCGTTTGAATAAAATGTACATCTCCATGCATAATTCCGTGCTTCCTGTTAATTTGCTAATATTCACCTCGCAATGTCCTCTACACTGCTGCAAGATTTTCAGGATTTAAAAGCGATACACAGTCTGAATTATCAACATAAAGAGTTTTATTTGGACTAAGAGGTGCAAATTTACACTGTACTGACTTTGTTTCATAAATATATTTAAGGACACTCGTGTTGAGCAGGGTGCTTCTAGCAAACGAGTGTGTTATGTTATGATTTCTGTCATAAACTTTGAATAATCATCTGAATGGTTTAGCCTATAAGCGTGGTTTATAATAACGTTACTCAATAATAATCAATCTTCACCATTTAGTCTGTAACATACGACCTTCGGTGTGTGTGTATATACACCAGTGTGTATTTGTTCAATATTTTGCACGTGTTTAATATTTTTGACGTGTTTTTTTACGGTAATTGCGTTGAATATTGAGGGGATACCAGCCCCTAGACTGAAATGTGATAATGGCTGCGTTACAAAATAATAAACAACGCTTACAAACTATTCCATCCAGATGGGTTAAAAAACAACCAGCAATTGTAACCATTTAAATTGATGGAATATAACAATTCACCTCCGTTCTCTAGACACACCTTGATCAACAAGAGTCCTTAAACACATTAATAAAACCACGTCAGCCCGCTATAAAGCATGCGCCTCTTAGTCTAAGTATATCTCCATCAACATTGCAATATTTATTACTGTATTTCACAGGTAAGGCCGATACATCGATAGCAGTTTACAGGCCATTGTAAATGTGCAAACTAACAACATGCACATAATTATTCAAGAAGATGCCAATCCATATTCAAAAGCAAGTGAACAATGATGCAGTGAAATGAACATTCCTACTTAGGCTTAAGCACAATGGCCACATGAGCTTAGGTATGTTGATAGATTATGAGGAGCGTCACCTACGAGGATAACAATTGAATGCAAGGAAGTTCATGAAGACAATTACAAATGATTCTAGAGAGATTACTTAAATGGGAAGAATAATCTCAACCGGTGTGCCGTAGCAAAGGCGAACAAATGGAATTAAATAAACAAAACTAATGACTTCACTAACACTCATTAAACACGGGGCCACTATTTAAAACATTATTAATGATTCCAAGCGTTTGTATTGGAATACAGAGAATGAATTAGAATGTCACGCGTTTCTGGCATTCGCTTGACGTTCTTCAGTGTTGTGGGGCATCTAAGATTCAGATCGTTGGTTCAATCTGTTAAAATAATCACAAAACCCCGCTATCCTAGTCTGCTACTGTTTGTATGTACGTGGATCTGTACTGCTGTGTACGTACACTCGTGTGTGTATGCGCACAGCTGTAAATAGACAGTCGTATTTGAATGCACACGTGTGAATGGCTACTCGTCTGTACTATCAGTTATCTTTAAAAACAATTCAGGTTTTTTTATTAATCTGCAAGGAAATTCACGTTAATTCTCGTATCGACATCTTTATTAAGACGCGTGCTCAAACAGTAAAGGAACTAGGCCAATTATTTCCCCAATAGGAATTCAAACAGTTAAAACATATTCTCAAAATCAAACACGTAAATGTCGATTTCCCCATTGACGTCCTTATCGACTGAAGCCATTCGTCCACAAGTCCAAGCCATCAAACACAGGAACAACGAACGAGCAATCCACGCGCACTCTGAAAGCTATCATTTGAAGTTATTTTTTTTCATTAAACAATAAAGAAAATTGAGGAAAAAGGTTTAAAATATAGGGCAACGTTATGATCACAGTCTTTCTCCAACTTTAGCTCAACAAGGCCACTTAGTGACGACAGTAAAATCAGGAATTGGACCACCTCACAACCACTGTGCATCACACCACATCAACAAGTAATCCGATATGACTACAAAGCACCACCTTAACGTGACGAAGTCTAGAAGGAACTTCAACACTCAAGTAGCTGTGAGAAGATGACAACACGTGGCACCTTCTACCATAAACACCACACATTTAACAGTCCCGATGATACAACCACCAGACGAAGCAACGCATCTATCGAAGTATAAAATTGTTGTCATCCTGAAATAAGTGAACACTTCTGGAGCTTAAAAGGAATTCCTTTTTATCCCAACACATCATAGAGCATTCACAACATCGCTCTAGCTTGGAGTACTGGAAATCAAGGAAGTAATAATGTGTACCTTATTGATTGATCTAACAGAGACACAAACATGCACGTTCCATGACTTCAAGAGTTAACAGAAGTCCTCAATATTTTGACCCTCCCGCCACTCCAGCAGCGATTTCTCAGCATCCACCTGCATGGGGTCGAAAGAGTAATTGTTGCCAGGACTCATTACCTCCACTACATCCAGGCATCCCGTGTGAGTTTTCTGGTGACTGTGAAGATTTGATTTCCATGCAAATGCCTTCCCACACGCAGAGCAAGTGAATGGCTTCTCGCCCGTGTGAGTTTTCTGGTGACTGTGAAGAATTGTTTTCCGTGCAAATGCCTTCCCACACACAGAGCACCTGAATGGCTTATCACCCGTGTGTGTTTTCTGGTGTCTGCTAAGAGTTGATTTCCGTGAAAATGCCTTCACACACACAGAACAATGGAATGGCTTCTCGCCCGTGTGGGCTTGGCACTGTGGAGAGTTCATCTGCTCCATGTGACTGATTCTACAGAGCAGAGTAACAGTCGCGGGTGTTGTTGAGAGTTAACGGTGCCCTCTATGCTGCGTGGATGTGTGGCTCAAATCGCCAAAAAGCAAACTCTCACGAACGTCCAACCGAGACAAAGTAACGTCTCGTAAGTCGGACTACACACGCGATTACCTGGCTATCCACTAACAAAGACACTTACTTATTGATGTACGGTGTATCGATGTCCCTGTAACCCGTCTAAAGAGATCGCCACGAACTCTCCCGAAGCAAAGTCGCCAACCAGTCGCCAAGCAATCGTGCTCGCCAGGCTGAGTCTCGCAGGAGAAGGGAAATCTGCAGAGCGATGAGTCGAGCGTCTATCCTCAGGAAAATCCCTCTCGAAATGGTCTTGAGGTCTGATTTTAAGCCCCTTATAACTCCCCTCTAGCATCCAAATCCTTTGTTCTCGATTTGGCCTATCATAGACTTTGCATTCAATTGTTAATTTTTACATTAACAATCCGCATATCAATCAACGTTGCTTAGCTAATCTGGCCATTTAAATTAAACCTTAATAAGTATGTACATCCCACTACATAATTGTACACTTCCGTTTGAATAAAGATGTACATCTCCATGCATAATTCCGTGCTTCCTGTTGATTTGCTAATATTCACCCCGCAATGTCCTCTACACTGCTGCAAGTTTAAAGGATTAAACAACGACACATAGTCTAAAGAATCAAAATGCTGTTGTCCAGTTTGATTTGGACAACGAGGTGCAAATTTACAGTGTACTGACTTTGTTTCATAAATATATTGAAGGACACTCGTGTTGAGCGGGGTGTTTCTAGAAAACGAGGATGTTATGTTATAATTTCCGTCATAAACTTTGAGTAGTCATCTCAAAGTATGTATGTACACCCCTGTATATGCACACTCGTGCGTCAATGCACACCGCTGTATATATATACAGTCGTGTTAGGATACACACTCGTGTGTGCATGGCTACTTGTCCATATTCTTTTAAGGAAGGAAATGGTAGCAATAATGTACGATCAGTCTGTTAAGAGCTGATTCATCCGCAAATGCCTTCCCACAAACAGAGCACTTGAATGGCTTCTCTGCCGTGTGAGTTTTCTGGTGACTCTGAAGATGTGATTTCTGTGAAAATTCCTTCCCACACACAGAGCAATTGAATGGCTTCTCGCCCGTGTGTGTTTTCTGGTGTCTGCTAAGAGTTGATTTCCGTGAAAATGCCTTCACACACACAGAACAATTGAATGGCTTCTCGCCCGTGTGTGTTTTCTGGTGTCTGCTAAGAGTTGATTTCCGTGAAAATGCCTTCACACCCACAGAACAATGGAATGGCTAACAGAGACACAAACATGCACATTCCAGGACTTCAAGAGTTAACAGAAGTCCTCAAAACTTTGACCAATCCAGCCACTCCAGCAGCGATTTCTCAGCATCCACCTGCATGGGATCGAAAGAGGAATTGTGGTCAGGGCTCATTACATCCAGCAATCTCTCAGTATCCAGCTGCATGAGGTCGAAAGAGGAATTGTTGCCAGGAGTCATTACATCCACTACATCCAGGCATCTCTCAGGATTCACCTGTATAGGGTCGACAGATTCATTTTGTTCAGGACTCACTGCAGCACTTTGCATTTCACCTTTTGATTTCACTTCACTCTCATTGCAGATCTTCGCATGCTTGTTTCGGGGTGATGACCGTGTCCTCTCCAACGGAGAACAATTGAATGACTTCTCGCCCGTGTGTGTTTTCTGGTGTCTGTTAAGAGATGATTTCTCTGCAAATGCCTTCCCACAAACAGAACAATTGAATGGCTTCTCAACCGAGTGTGTTTTCTGGTGTCTGTTAAGATTTGATTTCCGTGAAAATGCCTTCCCACACACAGAGCACTTGAATGGCTTCTCACCAGTGTGTGTTTTCTTGTGAGTGTTAAGATTTGATTTCTGTGCAAATGCCTTCCCACACACAGAGCACTTGAATGGCTTCTCGCCCGTGTGTATTTTCTTGTGAGTGTTAAGATTTGATTTCTGTGCAAATGCCTTCCCACACACAGAGCACTTGAATGGCTTCTCGCCCGTGTGTGTTTTCTGGTGTCTGTTAAGAGTTGATTTCCGTGAAAATGCCTTCACACACACAGAGCAATTGAATGGCTTCTCGCCCGTGTGGGCTTGGCACTGTGGAGAGTTAATCTGCTCCATGTGACAGATTCTACAGAGCAGAGTAACAGTCGCGGGTGTTGTTGAGAGTTAACGGCGCCCTCTTAAGCTGCGTGGATCAAATCGCCAAAAAGCAAACTCTCACGAACGTCCAACCGAGACAAAGTAACGTCTCCGTAAGTCGGACTACACACGCGATTACCAGGCTATGCACTAACAAAGACACTTACTTGTTGATGCACGGTGTATCGATGACCCTGTAACCTGTCTAAAGAGATCGCCACGAACTCTCCCGAAGCAAAGTCGCCAACCAGTCGCCAAGCAATCGTGCTCGCCAGGCTGAGTCTCGCATGGAGAAGGGAAATCTGCAGAGCGATGAGTCGAGCGTCTATCCTCAGGAAAAATTCCTCTCCAAATGGTTTTGAGGTCTGATTTTAAGCCCCTTATAACTCCCCTCTAGCATCCAAATCCTTTGTTCTCGATTTGGCCTATCATGGACTTTGCATTCAATTGTAGATTTGTAACATTTACAATCCGCATATAAATCAACAAAGCTTAGCTAATCTGGCCATTTAAATTAAACCTTAATATGTATGTACATCCCACTGCATAATTGTACGCTTCCGTTTGAATAAAATGTACATCTCCATGCATAATTCCGTGCTTCCTGTTGATTTGCCAATATTCACCCCGCAATGTCCTCTACACTGCTGCAAGTTTAAAGGATTAAACAACGACACATAGTCTAAAGAATCAAAATGCTGTTGTCCAGTTTGATTTGGACAACGAGGTGCAAATTTACAGTGTACTGACTTTGTTTCATAAATATATTGAAGGGCACTCGTGTTGAGCGAGGTGTTTCTAGAAAACGAGGATGTTATGTTATAATTTCCGTCATAAACTTTGAGTAGTCATCTCAAAGTATGTATGTACACCCCTGTATATGCACACTCGTGCGTGAATGCACACCGCTGTATATATATACAGTCGTGTTAGGATACACACTCGTGTGTGCATGGCTACTTGTCCATATTCTTTTTAAGGAAGGAAATGGTAGCAATAATGTACGATCAGTCATCTTTAAGAACACAAATCAGGTCTTTATTAATCTTTATTAATTCGCTTTTCAAACAGTTAAGGAACTATGAAAATAATTTCACTTTCATTAATTCAACAGTCATAAAATATTCTCAAAATCAAACACGTGAACATCTTAATCCTTCCCAATTGACGTCCTTATCGACTGAAGCCATTCGTCCACAAGTCCAAGCCATCAAACACAGGAACAACGAACGCACATTCTGAAACCGACACTTTGAAGAAGTTTTTTTTAATCAAACAATAAAGAAAATTAAAGAAAAATGTTTAAAATATAGGGCAACGTTATGATCACAGTCTTTCTCCAACTTTAGCTCAACAAGGCCACTTAGTCACGACAGTAAAATCAGGAATTGGACCACCTCACAACCACTGTGCATCACACCACATCAACAAGTAATCCGATATGACTACAAAGCACCACCTTAACGTGACGAAGTCTAGAAGCAACTTCAACACTCAAGTAGCTGTGAGAAGATGACAACACGTGGCACCTTCTACCATAAACACCACACATTTAACAGTCCCGATGATACAACCACCAGACGAAGCAACGCATCTGTGGAAGTATAAAATTGTTGTCATCCTGAAATAAGTGAACACTTCTGGAGCTTAAAAGGAATTCCTTTTTATCCCAACACATCATAGAGCATTCACAACATCGCTCTAGCTTGGAGTACTGGAAATCACGGAAATAATAATGTTTACCTTATCGATTGATCTAACAGAGACACAAACATGCACATTCCAGGACTTCAAGAGTTAACAGAAGTCCTCAAAACTTTGACCCTCCAGCCACTCCAGCAGCGATTTCTCAGCATCCACCTGCATGAGGTCGAAAGAGTAATTGTTGCCAGGACTCATTACCTCCACTACATCCAGGCATCCCGTGTGAGTTTTCTGGTGACTGTGAAGATTTGATTTCCATGCAAATGCCTTCCCACACGCAGAGCAAGTGAATGGCTTCTCGCCCGTGTGAGTTTTCTGGTGACTCTGAAGATGTGATTTCTGAGAAAATTCCTTCCCACACACATAGGCACCTGAATGGCTTATCACCCGTGTGTGTTTTCTGGTGACTCTGTAAGATGTGATTTCCTGTGCAAATGCCTTCCCACACACAGAGCAATTGAACTGGCTTCTCGCCCGTTTGTGTTTTCTGGTATTTGTTAAGAGCTGATTTATCCGCAAATGCCTTCCCACACACAGAGCACTTGAATGGCTTCTCGCCCGTGTGTGTTTTCTTGTGAGTGTTAAGATTTGATTTCTATGCAAATGCCTTCCCACAGACAGAGCACTTGAATGGCTTTTCGCCCGTGTGTATTTTCTTGTGAGTATTTTCTTGCGAGTGTTAAGATTTGATTTCTGTGCAAATGCCTTCCCACACACAGAGCAATTGAACGGGTTCTCGCCCGTGTATGCGTGGCACGGTTTATAGTTCATCTGCTCCATGTGACTGATTCTACAGAGCAGAGTAACAGTCGCGGGTGTTGTTGAGAGTTAACGGCGCCCTCTAAGCTGCGTGGCTCAAATCGCCAAAAAGCAAACTCTCACGAACGTCCAACCGAGACACAGTAACGCCCCGTAAGACGGACTACACACGCGATTACCTGGCTATCCACTAACAAAGACACTTACTTGTTGATGCACGGTGTATCGATGACCCTGTAACCCGTCTAAAGAGATCGCCACGAACTCTCCCGAAGCAAAGTCGCCAACCAGTCGCCAAGCAATCGTGCTCGCCAGGCTGAGTCTCGCAGGAGAAGGGAAATCTGCAGAGCGATGAGTCGAGCGTCTATCCTCAGGAAAATTCCTCTCCAAATGATCTTGAGGTCTGATTTTAAGCCCCTTATAACTCCCCTCTAGCATCCAAATCCTTTGTTCTCGATTTGGCCTATCATGGACTTTGCATTCAATTGTTAATTTTCACATTAACAATCCGCATATCAATAAATCTGGCCCATATCAATAAATCTGGCACATTGTACTTAAACCTTAATAAGTATGTACATCCCACTGCATAATTGTACGCTTCCGTTTGAATAAAGATGTACATCTCCATGGATAATTCTGTGCTTCCTGTTAATTTGCTAATATTCACCCCGCAATGTCCTCTACACTGATGCAAGATTTTCAGGATTTAAAAGCGAATCACAGTCTGAATTATCAACATAAAGAGTTTTATATTGACTAAGAGGTGCAAATTTACAGTGTACTGACTTTGTTTGATAAATATATTTAAGGACACTCGTGTTGAGCGGGGTGTTTCTAGAAAACGAGGTTGATATGTTATAATTTAAGTCATAAACTTTGAGTAATCATCTGAATGGTTTAGCTTGTAAGCGTGGTTTAACATAACGTACCGCAAAAAAAGTCAATCATACATATTTAGTCTTCAGTGTGTATGTATACTCTTGTGTGTGTTCAATATTTATGCACGTGTTTTATATTTTGGACGTGTTTTTGTTACGGTAACTGCATTGAATATGGAGGTGTTACCAGCACCTCGCACCGGTCCAGAGACCTCGTGGGCCGCTGTGGTGGCTACGAGACTCCCCTCAAGGACATTGCTCTTATCCACCACAGCGTTACCGACCGGGAACGCCGATGAAGTTGAAGGTTGTTAACACAGAAGTTTATTCGTGGCAGGGGAATGCCAAACAACATGGAGTGGCTCTTCTTCTGAGAATGAAAACCCGTATACGTATGTGTGTGTGTATGTGTATGCAGGTACAATCGTGCGTGTTCGCAGTGGAACGCAATCCTTGTGTTCGTACACTGCTGTGTATGTACACTGCGTTGTATGTCTGTATGTATGTACACCCCTGTATATGCACACTCGTGTGTGAATGCACACCGCTGTATATATATACAGTCGTGTTGGGATGCACACTCGTGTGTGAATGTCTACTCGTCCATGTTCTTTTTAAGGAAGGATATGGTAACAATAATGTACGATCAGTCATCTTTAAATACAAATCAGGACTTTATTAATCTGCAACAATATCAACGTTAAAACTCGCGTCAAAATCTTTATTAATTCGCTTTTTCAAACAAGTTAAGGAACCAGGAAAATTATTTCACTTTCAATAATTCAACAGTCATAAAATATTCTCAAAATCAAACACGTGAACGTCTTAATCCTTCCCAATTGACGTCCTTATCGACTGAAGTCTTTCGTCCACAAGTCCAAGCCATCAAACACAGGAACAACGAACGCACATTCTGAAACCGACACTTTGAGGACGTTTTTTTTTTATCAAACAATAAAGAAAATTAAAGGAAAATGTTTAAAATATAGGGCAACGTTATGATCACAGTATTTCTCCAACTTTAGCTCAACAAGGCCACTTAGTCACGACAGTAAAATCAGGAATTGGACCACCTCACAACCACTGTGCATCACACCACATCAACAAGTAATCCGATATGACTACAAAGCACCACCTTAACGTGACGAAGTCTAGAATAAACTACAACACTCAAGTAGCTGTGAGAAGATGACAACACGTGGCACCTTCTACCATAAACACCACACATTTAACAGTCCCGATGATACAACCACCAGACGATGCAACGCATCTATCGAAGTAAAAAATTGTTGTCATCCTGAAATAAGTGAACACTTCTGGAGCTTAAAAGGAATTCTTTTTTATCCCAACACATCATAGAGCATTCACAACATCGCTCTAGCGTGGAGTACTGGAAATCACGGAAGTAATAATGTGTACCTTATCGATTGATCTAACAGAGACACAAACATGCACATTCCAGGACTTCAAGAGTTAACAGAAGTCCTCAAAACTTTGACCCTCCAGCCACTCCAGCAGCGATTTCTCTTGTGAGTGTTAAGAGTTGATTTCTGTGCAAATGCCTTCCCACACACAGAACAATGGAATGGCTTCTCGCCCGTGTGTGCTTGGCACTGTGGAGAGTTCATCTGCTCCATGTGACTGATTCTACAGAGCAGAGTAACAGTCGCGGGTGTTGTTGAGAGTTAACGGCGCCCTCTATGCTGCGTGGATGTGTGGCTCAAATCGCCAAAAAGCAAACTTTCACGAACGTCCAACCGAGACAAAGTAACGTCTCGTAAGTCGGACTACACACGCGATTACCTGGCTATCCACTAACAAAGACACTTACTTGTTGATGCACGGTGTATCGATGACCCTGTAACCCGTCTAAAGAGATCGCCACGAACTCTCCCGAAGCAAAGTCGCCAACCAGTCGCCAAGCAATCGTGCTCGCCAGGCTGTGGCTCGCAGGAGAAGGGAAATCTGCAGAGCGAGGAGTCGAGCGTCTATCCTCAGGAAAATCCCTCTCGAAATGATCTTGATGTCTGATTTTAAGCCCCTTATAACTCCCCTCTAGCATCCAAATCCTTTCTTCTCGATTTGGCCTATCATGGACTTTGCATTCAATTGTTAATTTTCACATTAACAATCCGCATATCAATAAACGTAGCTTAGCTAATCTGGCCCATTGTACTTAAACCTTAATAAGTATGTACATCCCACTGCATAATTGTACGCTTCCGTTTGAATAAAGATGTACATCTCCATGGATAATTCTGTGCTTCCTGTTAATTTGCTAATATTCACCCCGCAATGTCCTCTACACTGATGCAAGATTTTCAGGATTTAAAAGCGAATCACAGTCTGAATTATCAACATAAAGAGTTTTATATTGACTAAGAGGTGCAAATTTACAGTGTACTGACTTTGTTTGATAAATATATTTAAGGACACTCGTGTTGAGCGGGGTGTTTCTAGAAAACGAGGTTGATATGTTATAATTTAAGTCATAAACTTTGAGTAATCATCTGAATGGTTTAGCTTGTAAGCGTGGTTTAACATAACGTACCGAAAAAAGTCAATCATACATATTTAGTCTTCAGTGTGTATGTATACTCTTGTGTGTGTTCAATATTTATGCACGTGTTTTATATTTTGGACGTGTTTTTGTTACGGTAACTGCATTGAATATGGAGGTGTTACCAGCACCTCGCACCGGTCCAGAGACCTCGTGGGCCGCTGTGGTGGCTACGAGACTTCCCTCAAGGACATTGCTCTTATCCACCACAGCGTTACCGACCGGGAACGCCGATGAAGTTGAAGGTTGTTAACACAGAAGTTTATTCGTGGCAGGGGAATGCCAAACAACATGGAGTGGCTCTTCTTCTGAGAATGAAAACCCGTATACGTATGTGTGTGTGTATGTGTATGCAGGTACAATCGTGCGTGTTCGCAGTGGAACGCAATCCTTGTGTTCGTACACTGCTGTGTATGTACACTGCGTTGTATGTCTGTATGTATGTACACCCCTGTATATGCACACTCGTGTGTGAATGCACACCGCTGTATATATATACAGTCGTGTTGGGATGCACACTCGTGTGTGCATGGCTACTTGTCCATGTTCTTTTTAAGGAAGGATATGGTAACAATAATGTACGATCAGTCATCTTTAAATACAAATCAGGACTTTATTAATCTGCAACAATATCAACGTTAAAACTCGCGTCAAAATCTTTATTAATTCGCTTTTTCAAACAAGTTAAGGAACCAGGAAAATTATTTCACTTTCAATAATTCAACAGTCATAAAATATTCTCAAAATCAAACACGTGAACGTCTTAATCCTTCCCAATTGACGTCCTTATCGACTGAAGTCTTTCGTCCACAAGTCCAAGCCATCAAACACAGGAACAACGAACGCACATTCTGAAACCGACACTTTGAAGACGTTTTTTTTTTATCAAACAATAAAGAAAATTAAAGGAAAATGTTTAAAATATAGGGCAACGTTATGATCACAGTATTTCTCCAACTTTAGCTCAACAAGGCCACTTAGTCACGACAGTAAAATCAGGAATTGGACCACCTCACAACCACTGTGCATCACACCACATCAACAAGTAATCCGATATGACTACAAAGCACCACCTTAACGTGACGAAGTCTAGAATAAACTACAACACTCAAGTAGCTGTGAGAAGATGACAACACGTGGCACCTTCTACCATAAACACCACACATTTAACAGTCCCGATGATACAACCACCAGACGATGCAACGCATCTATCGAAGTAAAAAATTGTTGTCATCCTGAAATAAGTGAACACTTCTGGAGCTTAAAAGGAATTCCATTTTATTCCAAAACATCATAGAGCATTCACAACATCGCTCTAGCTTGGAGTACTGGAAATCACGGAAGTAATAATGTGTACCTTATCGATTGATCTAACAGAGACACAAACATGCACATTCCAGGACTTCAAGAGTTAACAGAAGTCCTCAAAACTTTGACCCTCCAGCCACTCCAGCAGCGATTTCTCTTGTGAGTGTTAAGAGTTGATTTCTGTGCAAATGCCTTCCCACACACAGAACAATGGAATGGCTTCTCGCCCGTGTGTGCTTGGCACTGTGGAGAGTTCATCTGCTCCATGTGACTGATTCTACAGAGCAGAGTAACAGTCGCGGGTGTTGTTGAGAGTTAACGGCGCCCTCTATGCTGCGTGGATGTGTGGCTCAAATCGCCAAAAAGCAAACTTTCACGAACGTCCAACCGAGACAAAGTAACGTCTCGTAAGTCGGACTACACACGCGATTACCTGGCTATCCACTAACAAAGACACTTACTTGTTGATGCACGGTGTATCGATGACCCTGTAACCCGTCTAAAGAGATCGCCACGAAGTCGCCAACCAGTCGCCAAGCAATCGTGCTCGCCAGGCTGAGTCTCGCAGGAGAAGGGAAATCTGCAGAGCGATGAGTCGAGCGTCTATCCTCAGGAAAATTCCTCTCTAAATGGTCTTGAGGTCTGATTTTAAGCCCCTTATAACTCCCCTCTAGCATCCAAATCCTTTGTTCTCGATTTGGCCTATCATGGACTTCGCATTCAATTGTTAATTTGTAACATTAACAATCGGCATATCAATCAACGTAGCTTAGCTAATCTGGCACATTGTACTTAAACCTTAATAAGTATGTACATCCCCCTGCATAATTGTACACTTCCGTTTGAATAAAGATGTACATCTCCAAGCATTATTCTGTGCTTCCTGTTAATTTGCTAATATTCACCCCGCAATGTCCTCTACACTGCTGCAAGATTTTCAGGATTTGAAAGCGATACAGTCTGAATTATCAACATAAATAGTTTTATTTGGACTAAGAGGTGCAAATTTACACTGTACTGACTTTGTTTCATAAATATATTTAAGGATACTCGTGTTGAGCAGGGTGCTTTTAGCAAACGATTGTGTTATGTTATGATTTCTGTCATAAACTTTGAATAATCATCTGAATGGTTTAGCCTATAAGCGTGGTTTATAATAACGTTACGCAAAAAAAAGCAATGCTAAATTATCCTGTTTTATATGTAAACCCCTTTGTCAAGGTGCCTCTAAACCAGCTTATAAAGACGCTACGAATCTTAACAACGTTCATTGAAGCTCTGTCGTCCCGACAGGTCTGTTCCTTTCACCTGAAGAAGGCCGCCTGTGTTGTGGCCGAAACGTCTCGTGAGAATATTATTGAGTTATTTTATTTTATCAATTTATTATTTTATTCTCATTCTACGTGGTGACCTTACCGAAATAACCAAATAAGATGAAACCCTGCACTCACAAAAGCTTGAAATCGAAATTTTAAATCGTCACCATTTAGTCTGTAACCTACGACCTTCGGTGTGTGTATATACACCACTGTGTATTTGTTCAATATTTTGCACGTGTTTAATATTTTTCATGTGTTTTTTTTACGGTAATTGCGTTGAATATTGAGGGGTTACCAGCCCCTAGACTGAAATGTGATAATGGCTGTGTTACAAAAATAATAAACAACGCTTACAAACTATTCCATCCAGATGGGTTAAAAAACAACCAGCAATTGTAACCATTTTAATTGATGGAATGTAACAATTCAACTTCGTTGTCTAGACACACCTTGATCAACAAGAGTCCTTAAACACATTAATAAAACCACGTCAGCCCGCTGTGAAGCATGCACCTCTTAGTCTAAGTATATCTCCATCAACATTGCAATATTTCATACTATATTTCACAGTTAAGGCGGATAAATCGATAGCAGTTTACAGGCCATTGTAAATGTGCAAAATAACAACGTAATTATTCAAGGAGATGCCCATCCATATTCGAACGGAAGTGAACAATGATGCAGTGAAATGAACATTCCTACTTAGGCTTAAGCACAATGGCCACATGAGCTTAGGTATGTTGATAGATTATAAGGAGCGCCACCTACGAGGATAACAATTGAATGCAAGGAAGTTAATCAAGACAATTACAAATGATTCTAGAGAGATTACTTAAACGGGAAGAATAATCTCAACCGGTTTGCCGAAGCAAAGGCGAACAAATGGTATTAAATAAACAAAACTAATGACTTCACTAACACTCATTAAACACGGGGCCACTATTTAAAACATTATTAATGATTCCAAGCGTTTGTATTGGAATACAGAGAATGGATTAGAATGTCACGCGTTTCTGGCATTCGCTTAACGTTCTTCAGTTTTGAGGGGCATCTAAGATTCAGATCGTCGGTTCAATCTGTTAAAATAATCACAAAACCCCGCTATCGTAGTCTGCTACTGTTTGTATGTACGTGGATCTGTACTGATGTGTACGTACACTCGTGTGTGTATGCGCACAGCTGTAAATAGACAGTCGTATTTGGATGCACACGTGTCTGTATGGCTACTCGTCTGTACTATCAGTTATCTTTAAAAACAATTCAGGTTTTTTATTAATCTGCAAGGAAATTCACGTTAATTCTCGTATCGACATCTTTATTAAGACGCGTGCTCAAACAGTAAAGGAACTAGGCCAATTATTTCCCCAATAGGAATTCAAACAGTTAAAACATATTCTCAAAATCAAACACGTAAATGTCGATTTCCCCATTGACGTCCTTATCGACTGAAGCCATTCGTCCACAAGTCCAAGCCATCAAACACAGGAACAACGAACGAGCAATCCACGCGCACTCTGAAAGCTATCATTTGAAGTTATTTTTTTTCATTAAACAATAAAGAAAATTGAGGAAAAAGGTTTAAAATATAGGGCAACGTTATGATCACAGTCTTTCTCCAACTTTAGCTCAACAAGGCCACTTAGTGACGACAGTAAAATCAGGAATTGGACCAGCTCACAACCACTGTGCATCACACCACATCAACAAGTAATCCGATATGACTACAAAGCACCACCTTAACGTGACGAAGTCTAGAAGGAACTTCAACACTCAAGGAGCTGTGAGAAGATGACAACACGTGGCACCTTCTACCATAAACACCACACATTTAACAGTCCCGATGATACAACCACCAGACGAAGCAACGCATCTGTGGAAGTATAAAATTGTTGTCATCCTGAAATAAGTGAACACTTCTGGAGCTTAAAAGGAATTCCTTTTTATCCCAACACATCATAGAGCATTCACAACATCGCTCTAGCTTGGAGTACTGGAAATCACGGAAGTAATAATGTGTACCTTATTGATTGATCTAACAGAGACACAAACATGCACGTTCCATGACTTCAAGAGTTAACAGAAGTCCTCAATATTTTGACCCTCCCGCCACTCCAGCAGCGATTTCTCAGTATCCACCTGCATGGGGTCGAAAGAGTAATTGTTGCCCAGACTCATTACCTCCACTACATCCAGGCATCCCGTGTGAGTTTTCTGGTGACTGTGAAGATTTGATTTCCATGCAAATGCCTTCCCACACGCAGAGCAAGTGAATGGCTTCTCGCCCGTGTGAGTTTTCTGGTGACTGTGAAGAATTGTTTTCCGTGCAAATGCCTTCCCACACACAGAGCACCTGAATGGCTTATCACCCGTGTGTGTTTTCTGGTGTCTGCTAAGAGTTGATTTCCGTGAAAATGCCTTCACACACACAGAACAATGGAATGGCTTCTCGCCCGTGTGGGCTTGGCACTGTGGAGAGTTCATCTGCTCCATGTGACTGATTCTACAGAGCAGAGTAACAGTCGCGGGTGTTGTTGAGAGATAGCGGTGCCCTCTATGCTGCGTGGATGTGTGGCTCAAATCGCCAAAAAGCAAACTCTCACGAACGTCCAACCGAGACAAAGTAACGTCTCGTAAGTCGGACTACACACGCGATTACCTGGCTATCCACTAACAAAGACACTTACTTGTTGATGCACGGTGTATCGATGACCCTGTAACCCGTCTAAAGAGATCGCCACGAACTCTCCCGAAGCAAAGTCGCCAACCAGTCGCCAAGCAATCGTGCTCGCCAGGCTGAGTCTCGCAGGAGAAGGGAAATCTGCAGAGCGATGAGTCGAGCGTCTATCCTCAGGAAAATCCCTCTCGAAATGGTCTTGAGGTCTGATTTTAAGCCCCTTATAACTCCCCTCTAGCATCCAAATCCTTTGTTCTCGATTTGGCCTATCATAGACTTTGCATTCAATTGTTAATTTTTACATTAACAATCCGCATATCAATCAACGTTGCTTAGCTAATCTGGCCATTTAAATTAAACCTTAATAAGTATGTACATCCCACTACATAATTGTACACTTCCGTTTGAATAAAGATGTACATCTCCATGCATAATTCCGTGCTTCCTGTTGATTTGCTAATATTCACCCCGCAATGTCCTCTACACTGCTGCAAGTTTAAAGGATTAAACAACGACACATAGTCTAAAGAATCAAAATGCTGTTGTCCAGTTTGATTTGGACAACGAGGTGCAAATTTACAGTGTACTGACTTTGTTTCATAAATATATTGAAGGACACTCGTGTTGAGCGGGGTGTTTCTAGAAAACGAGGATGTTATGTTATAATTTCCGTCATAAACTTTGAGTAGTCATCTCAAAGTATGTATGTACACCCCTGTATATGCACACTCGTGCGTCAATGCACACCGCTGTATATATATACAGTCGTGTTAGGATACACACTCGTGTGTGCATGGCTACTTGTCCATATTCTTTTAAGGAAGGAAATGGTAGCAATAATGTACGATCAGTCTGTTAAGAGCTGATTCATCCGCAAATGCCTTCCCACAAACAGAGCACTTGAATGGCTTCTCTGCCGTGTGAGTTTTCTGGTGACTCTGAAGATGTGATTTCTGTGAAAATTCCTTCCCACACACAGAGCAATTGAATGGCTTCTCGCCCGTGTGTGTTTTCTGGTGTCTGCTAAGAGTTGATTTCCGTGAAAATGCCTTCACACACACAGAACAATTGAATGGCTTCTCGCCCGTGTGTGTTTTCTGGTGTCTGCTAAGAGTTGATTTCCGTGAAAATGCCTTCACACCCACAGAACAATGGAATGGCTAACAGAGACACAAACATGCACATTCCAGGACTTCAAGAGTTAACAGAAGTGCTCAACACTTTGACCCTCCAGCCACTCCAGCAGCGATTTCTCAGCATCCACCTGCATGGGGTCGAAAGAGGAATTGTGGTCAGGGCTCATTACATCCAGCAATCTCTCAGGATCCAACTGCATGAGGTCGAAAGAGGAATTGTTGCCAGGAGTCATTTACATCCACTACATCCAGGCATCTCTCAGGATTCACCTGTATAGGGTCGAAAGATTCATTTTGTTCAGGACTCACTGCAGCACTTTGCATTTCACCTTTTGATTTCACTTCACTCTCATTGCAGATCTTCGCATGCTTGTTTCGGGGTGATGACCGTGTCCTCTCCAACGGAGAACAATTGAATGGCTTCTCGCCCGTGTGTGTTTTCTGGTGTCTGTTAAGAGATGATTTCTCTGCAAATGCCTTCCCACAAACAGAACAATTGAATGGCTTCTCGCCCGTGTGTTTTCTGGTGTCTGTTAAGAATTGATTTCCATGCAAATGCCTTCCCACACACAGAGCACTTGAATGGCTTCTCGCCCGTGTGTGTTTTCTTGTGAGTGTTAAGATTTGATTTCTGTGCAAATGCCTTCCCACACACAGAGCACTTGAATGGCTTCTCGCCCGTGTGTATTTTCTTGTGAGTGTTAAGATTTGATTTCTGTGCAAATGCCTTCCCACACACAGAGCACTTGAATGGCTTCTCGCCCGTGTGTGTTTTCTGGTGTCTGCTAAGAGTTGATTTCCGTGAAAATGCCTTCACACACACAGAACAATGGAATGGCTTCTCGCCCGTGTGGGCTTGGCACTGTGGAGAGTTAATCTGCTCCATGTGACAGATTCTACAGAGCAGAGTAACAGTCGCGGGTGTTGTTGAGAGTTAACGGCGCCCTTTAAGCTGCGTGGATCAAATCGCCAAAAAGCAAACTCTCACGAACGTCCAACCGAGACACAGTAACGCCCCGTAAGTCGGACTACACATGCGATTACCTGGCTATCCACTAACAAAGACACTTACTTGTTGATGCACGGCGTATCGATGACCCTGTAACCTGTCTAAAGAGAACGCCACGAACTCTCCCGAAGCAAAGTCGCCAACCAGTCGCCAAGCAATCGTGCTCGCCAGGCTGAGTCTCGCTGGAGAAGGGAAATCTGCAGAGCGATGAGTCGAGCGTCTATCCTCAGAAAAATTCCTCTCCAAATGATCTTGAGGTCTGATTTTAAGCCCCTTATAACTCCCCTCTAGCATCCAAATCCTTTGTTCTCGATTTGGCCTATCATGGACTTTGCATTCAATTGTAGATTTGTAACATTTACAATCCGCATATAAAGCAACTAAGCTTAGCTAATCTGGCCATTTAAATTAAACCTTAATATGAATGTACATCCCACTGCATAATTGTACGCTTCCGTTTGACTAAAATGTACATCTCCATGCATAATTCCGTGCTTCCTGTTGATTTCCTAATATTCACCCCGCAATGTCCTCTACACTGCTGCAAGTTTAAAGGATTAAACAACAACACATAGTCTAAAGAATCAAAATGCTGTTATCCAGTTTGATTTGGACAACGAGGTGCAAATTTACAGTGTACTGACTTTGTTTCATAAATATATTGAAGGGCACTCGTGTTGAGCGAGGTGTTTCTAGAAAACGAGGATGTTATGTTATAATTTCCGTCAAAAACTTTGAGTAGTCATCTCAAAGTATGTATGTACACCCCTGTATATGCACACTCGTGCGTGAATGCACACAGCTGTATATATATACAGTCGTGTTAGGATACACACTCGTGTGTGCATGGCTACTTGTCCATATTCTTTTTAAGGAAGGAAATGGTAGCAATAATGTACGATCAGTCATCTTTAATAACACAAATCAGGTCTTTATTAATCTGTATTAATTCGCTTTTTCAAACAGTTAAGGAACTATGAAAATAATTTCACTTTCATTAATTCAACAGTCATAAAATATTCGCAAAATCAAACAAGTGAACATCTTAATCCTTCCCAATTGACGTCCTTATCGACTGAAGCCATTCGTCCACAAGTCCAAGCCATCAAACACAGGAACAACGAACGCACATTCTGAAACCGACACTTTGAAGAAGTTTTTTTAATCAAACAATAAAGAAAATTAAAGAAAAATGTTTAAAATATAGGGCAACGTTATGATCACAGTCTTTCTCCAACTTTAGCTCAACAAGGCCACTTAGTCACGACAGTAAAATCAGGAATTGGACCACCTCACAACCACTGTGCATCACACCACATCAACAAGTAATCCGATATGACTACAAAGCACCACCTTAACGTGACGAAGTCTAGAATAAACTACAACACTCAAGTAGCTGTGAGAAGATGACAACACGTGGCACCTTCTACCATAAACACCACACATTTAACAGTCCCGATGATACAACCACCAGACGAAGCAACGCATCTATGGAAGTATAAAATTGTTGTCATCCTGAAATAAGTGAACACTTCTGGAGCTTAAAAGGAATTCCTTTTTATCCCAACACATCATAGAGCATTCACAACATCGCTCTAGCTTGGAGTACTGGAAATCACGGAAATAATAATGTTTACCTTATCGATTGATCTAACAGAGACACAAACATGCACATTCCAGGACTTCAAGAGTTAACAGAAGTCCTCAAAACTTTGACCCTCCAGCCACTCCAGCAGCGATTTCTCAGCATCCACCTGCATGAGGTCGAAAGAGTAATTGTTGCCAGGACTCATTACCTCCACTACATCCAGGCATCCCGTGTGAGTTTTCTGGTGACTGTGAAGATTTGATTTCCATGCAAATGCCTTCCCACACGCAGAGCAAGTGAATGGCTTCTCGCCCGTGTGAGTTTTCTGGTGACTGTGAAGATTTGATTTCAATGCAAATGCCTTCCCACACACAGAGCAATTGAACGGCTTCTCGCCCGTGTGTGTTTTCTGGTGACTCTGAAGATGTGATTTCTGTGCAAATGCCTTCCCACACACAGAGCAATTGAACGGCTGGAGCCCGTTTGTGTTTTCTGGTGTTTGTTAAGAGCTGATTTATCCGCAAATGCCTTCCCACAAACAGAGCACTTGAATGGCTTCTCGCCTGTGTGAGTTTTCTGGTGACTCTGAAGATGTGATTTCTGTGAAAATTCCTTCCCACACACAGAGCAATTGAATGGCTTCTCGCCCGTGTGTGTTTTCTGGTGTCTGCTAAGAGTTGATTTCCGTGAAAATGCCTTCCCACACACAGAGCAATTGAATGGCTTCTCGCCCGTGTGTGTTTTCTGGGTCTGCTAAGAGTTGATTTCCGTGAAAATGCCTTCACACACACAGAACAATGGAATGGCTTCTCGCCCGTGTGTGCGTGGCACTGTGAAGAGTTCATCTGCTCCATGTGACTGATTCTACAGAGCAGAGTAACAGTCGCGGGTGTTGTTGAGAGTTAACGGTGCCCTCTATGCTGCGTGGATGTGTGGCTCAAATCGCCAAAAAGCAAACTCTCACGAACGTCCAACCGAGACAAAGTAACGCCCCGTAAGACGGACTACGCACGCGATTACCAGGCTATCCACTAACAAAGACACTTACTTGTTGATGCACGGTGTATCGATGACCCTGTAACCCGTCTAAAGAGATCGCCACGAACTCTCCCGAAGCAAAGTCGCCAACCAGTCGCCAAGCAATCGTGCTCGCCAGGCTGAGTCTCGCAGGAGAAGGGAAATCTGCAGAGCGATGAGTCGAGCGTCTATCCTCAGGAAAATTCCTCTCCAATTGGTTTTGAGGTCTGATTTTAAGCCCCTTATAACTCCCCTCTAGCATCCAAATCCTTTGTTCGCGACTTGGCCTATCATGGACTTTGCATTCAATTGTTGATTTGTAACATTTACAATCCGCATATCAATCAACATAGCTTAGCTAATCTGGATATTGTAATTAGACCTTAATAAGTATGTACATCCCACTGCGTAATTGTACACTTCCGTTTGAATAAAGATGTACATCTCCAAGCATTATTCTGTGCTTCCTGTTAATTTGCTAATATTCACCCCGCAATGTCATCTACAATGCTGCAAGATTATCAGGATTTAAAAGCGATACACAGTCTGAATTATCAACATAAAGAGTTTTATTTGGACTAAGAGGTGCAAATTTACACTGTACTGACTTTTTTTATAAATATATTTAAGGATACTCGTGTTGAGCGGGGTGTTTCTAGCAAACGAGTGTGTTATGTTATGATTTCTGTCATGAACTTTGAATAATCATCTGAATGGTTTAGCCTGTAAGCGTGGTTTATAATAACGCAAAAAAAACAATAATCACCATTTAGTCTGTAACATACGACCTTCGGTGTGTGTGTATATACACCAGTGTGTATTTGTTCAATATTTTGCACGTGTTTAATAATTTTTGGACGTGTTTTTTTTTCACGGCAATTGCGTTGAATATTGAGGGGTTACCAGCTCCTACGCACCCGTCCAGAGACCTCGCGTGCCGCTGTGGTGGCTGCGAGACTTCCCTCCTGGACATTGATCACATCCACCACAGCCTTACCGTCCGGCACCGTCAATGAAGGAACGGGGTTGTGTTTTTTTTTTTGCAAAACTTTACTCGTGGCAAAGGGAACGGCTAAACAACCGGGGAATGTCTCCTTCTGAGAAACAACAAAAACGAATGAAGGGGGCTTTGGAGCGTGGCGTAAGTTGTGGAAGGCTGTAAGTCACAGGTAGCATTCGAATTGGTGACATTGACACCAGCATCACATTTGTGGGGTCGTTTGGATCGATGTTGCATTGATGAAAGATGAAGTTCTCGACGCTGCATTTCATGAACTTTACATTCAATTGTTATTTTTGGGAATTTGCAATCTGCATATCTAGCAAACAGAGCTTCGCTAATCTGGCCATTGAGCTTAAGCCTGAATAATATGTTCATATCACCGCATAATTCGCAATAATTTTCTAATATTCACCCTGCAATGTGCTGCAAACTGCTGCCAGTTCAAATGCGTTACCAGCAAAATGCAGCCTGAAGTATTAAAATTGTGGTTTAGACTTTGAGGATGCAAGTTGATACCGTGTTTACCTTGCTTTATAAATATATTTAAGGACACTGGTGTTGATATGGACCCGTCGGAACAACCAAGGTGATTTGCTATATTCAATCCACGAAAATTATTACGATTGCTGTAATACATGACCCAGCCAACGCAGCCTTGCCTGCCGGAGGAGCTCACCAATGGGACCTTGCCCAGATCTTTCAAGGATTTGTGAGCTCCTCACACAATCCATCCTGGTTAAACCCAGGATGGATCGTAGGCAGGCCAGCCTAAATGTTTCCAACCGGCGAAGATGTTCCATTAAGGGGGTCCACGTGTCGCAAGCGTAGAGAAGGGAGGGAATGACCGTGGCCGAGAAGACCTGAAGCTTAGTGCGGAGCGACAGACCAGGTAGCTTCCACACAGCGTTACGCAACCGATGAAAAGATATTGCCGCTCGCCTGATTCGGAGTGAGACCTCTGCTGTTAAACTGGAGCCGGTCATGAGCACACTGCCCAGGTATGGGAAACTCTCCACTCTCTCCACTACTGCCCCATCACCGATTGGGAGTTGTGGGGGTGGAGTGTCCGATGGTAAAAAATACCCAGGCAGGTGCTTAGTTTTGGTGGGGCTGATGGTAAGGCCCCACCTCTTAGTGGCACGCTCCAGTCTCAGCAGCAGCGTCTCCAACTCCTCATCTGAATGAGCAGCTATTACCAAATCATCAGCATACATAACGTGGTTGAGCAATAGGGAGCCATCCCTTGACCGCACCCGGGCATCGATCAGCCTCCCATTATATCTGTACCATATGGAGATTCCCCCAGTACAGCTATTGAAGGCTTCACGAACTATGTGGTCAAAATAGATGTTAAATAATGTGGGAGCCAGAGGACATCCCTGTCGCACCCCAAGGTGTACAGGGAATGGCTCTGACTCCCAGCCACGTAGTTTTACCCGGGCCCGCTCACCATCATGAAGGTCCTTAATGATCGTGAGCAGAGGGTCAGGTACTCCAAAAGCACGAAGAACGACCCAGAGCCCAGGCTTACTGATGGTATCATAGGCCTTGACCAGGTCAATAAAGCAGAGATGTAGGTCTAGTTGGAATTCCCTACACCTCTGCTGTAGCAGACGGACAGAAAATATGGCATCTGTGCAGGACCGCCCTTTCCTGAAACCGCAGTGGGGCTCCGCAAGCCTCTCCTCAGCGTGCCTGGCAAGGCGATGTTGAATAATCCTTGCCAGGACCTTTCCCGGCATACTGAGGAGTGAGATGCCCCTGTAGTTGTTACAGTCTGTGCGGTCCCCCTTCTTCTTAAAGAGGGGGACCACCAGGGCATCCTTCCAATCCTGCGGAACCCGTCCAGTGGTCCAGACTTGTTATGATGTCATCTAGGGCAGTCTGTGCAGAAACGCCACCCTCCCTCAGCATTTCGCTTGGGAGATCATCTCTGCCCGCTGCCTTTCCTGGACTCAGACTCCGGATCGCCTTCAGTACTTCCTCAACAGGTGGCACCTCAGCCAGCAACTCACAGGGGGTGACTTCTTCCAATATTTGAGGCACCGCAGCCTCAGCAGGGTCATCCTCACTTTGTGCCACGATGTTTTCCTGGCTGAGGGATTTTCCCTCCCCCAGGACCTCACAGAAATGCTCAGCAAATCTGCAAACCTGTTCCTGGGGGTGGGAGATTGGATCACCGTTTTTTCCCCTAATGATGGTAATAGGTGTGGCGCTGCAGGTTACTTTTTTGATGGAGTTAAATAGAGATTTGTGATCACGGGCCACTGAGGCAGACTCCATCTCCTCAGCAACCCGCGACCACCACCCATCCTTGCAGCGCCTCACGGCTCTCCGAACCTCCGAGCGAAGGCTGCGGTAAGCCTCCTCATTCTCTGACGTGGGATTCTGTAGCCGATGACAGTGGGCCTGTCGCTTTTTCTCAACCATCCTTAACACCTCCTCTTTCAGCCAGGGTCTCTGGGGAGGTCTGGACCGCGTACCCAAAGCAGCCATTGCAGCTGCATGAGTCAGTCCTAAACCTTGCCCATTTACCCTCGACATCAGGAGGAGTCGGGGACGATGCCAATCCCAGCCGCAAGCGATGATGAAATTCTCGCTTGCAACTTTCATCAGATGACTGAGACCAGGCCACTTTAGGTTGGAATGGGGTCCTGGGTGTACACCCACCACCGAAGTGGAAGAATGGCAGGCGCATCTTACAGATGACTAGTCGATGGTCAGAGAACAGATCAGCTCCACGGTAGGTCCTGGTGTCAAGGACATGGGCTCGCATCCGCTGGTCCGTCACTATGTAGTCAAGCAAATGTTCTTGCTTGGACCCGGCATGCATCCATGATGTTGTGTGGATGCGCCGATGCCGGAACAGCGTGTTGGTAATTACAAGCCCATGGGCTGCACAAAAATCTAGCAGCCTCCTACCGTTGTTATTGAGCTGATCTGGCCCATGCCCTCCAATCACTCCAGACCAGGTGCCAGTATCATGACCAACTCGGGCATTGAAGTCACCCAACATGATGACTCTATCCCGAGGGGCCACTTTAGCCAGCACCTGTGACAGGAGGTCATAGAAGGCATCTGACTCATCGGCTTTGCCTGCATCCCTCCACGGATGTTCATCTTCGGTGGTGGCATAAGTAACCACGACCACCATTCCTCGCCTCCGGTTGATGGGAAGGCGAGCCCAAAGTAGCCTGGGGCTTACAGCTTCCCACACCTCACCGCCACGCTCCCACGACCCCTTCATTATTTTGTTCAAAAGAAGAGCCACACCCTGTTGTTTGGCATTCTGCTGCCCCGAGAAGAGGACTGTCCACCCCTCATGGTGGCAGGAACCAGAACCGGTCCACCGGACCTCCTGAATGCCACAGAGATCCAGGCGGTACCGGTCCAGCTCCCGACAGAGGAGTGGCAGCCTCTCCTCCGCAGTGAGCGTTCGAACATTCCACGTGGCCACCCGTAGTGGTTTTTCGTTGTTTCTGGAGGAGCCCCGAGGGTAGATATTCAATCTCCTGGCTCCGCCAATTGGGGTTTGGCCAGGAGACGTGATAGACGCCTGTCCCCCCGGGGCCTCCGGCACAAGCTTATTAGTTATATATTTCAGTTTAACTCGTGGTTTAGTGGTAATTAATTGAAGGTGGAGGCGTTACCAGCCCCTCGCACCCGTCCAGAGCCCCCGTTTAGCCACTGTGGTGGTCACAGACGCCATGAGGGGAGGAGCCAATCACAATTGGACCTCACCCCACAGCATTGTCCACGACAGAGTTGCCAGTCCGGCACCGCGAAGAGGTAATGAAAAGCTGTCACATGGAAAGAGCTGTGATCACGGTGATGGTGATGATGGTGGTATTAATATTTTCTGATGTTACCAAGGTAATGATGTTGCTGATGAAGTTTGCCATTGTTTGAATTAAATAATTGAAGCAATGGAGATGTTTGGAGTTACTCACATACTCAATCACACACACTCACACACTCACCACTCACAATCACTCACTCATCACACACTCATCACCCACTCACTCATTCACCCACTCACCCACTCATCACTCACTCACCCTCCCACGCACCCACTCACCTCACCCACTCATCCACCCACTCATCCACCCACCAACTCACTCACCCACCCACGCACCCACCCACGCACTCACCCACTCACTCACTCACCCACTCACTCACCTCACTCACCCACTCACTCACCCACCCACCCACTCACCCACTCACTCACTCACCCACCCACCCACTCAATCACACACCCACTCACCCAGTCACTCACCCACTC